TTAGAAAACTATATAATCTAGTTTTTAAGCTTATAAAAAGCTAAAAAGGCCCACTTTTTATATAAGCTAATTGGTTATAATATTAGCTAATTTATGTATTTATTATTATAATTCAAGTATTTTATTAGATTTGTTATTAATTATTTAAGCTTTTTTAAAAATTGAAAATTATTGTAGACTAGCTATATTATACTACTATAAGTATGCGTCTTTAGAAAGTAAGAATAAACTTAAGAAGAAAGAGAAAGAAGAAGAAAGGTTTCCCTCTTCTTAACCCCCTTTATATCTCTACCTAGCCCGTAGATTATCCGGGTTAGGTCCGAGCTGCCTCCGCATCGGGTTCGGCCTAGGCCCGAGCTGGCAGCTCGAGCCCATAACAAAAATGTAGTTTTCTTGTCAATGCTCTGATTCCAGAAACTTTTAGGAGTACATCGATCCGCTTCACCGATAGACCGACCTCTTTGCAGGATAGCCCGACGGACACGGACAGATCTTTAGACAAAAGAGTCCTGGCCTAGGTGAGTTGACTAATCTCTCCGGCACCAGTTAGGCAAATCCTTCCTAGGAGGCCTTCAATGTCTTATGCTGCACTTGTCGTTCACGTCGGATTGATTCCTAGTCCGTTGTATCCTAGAATGGGATATTCTACGCTCGGGGTAATGGGAGTTATTGAGAATGAGGGCACACTACGACTCTGAATCAGTCAATGTTCTACTAACCGTGCATGCACAATGCCTGCATTTTTAGCCACCACGATTTTGACGGTAAGAAAGGAACTTGGCTATCAAAATCCGGCCTGGTGAAGGGCCGAAACTTGGTGATATTTTCGTCTTAACCGACTCATCACCACCGCGTGCGATACTTTTGCCCAAGGCTCAGACCATCAACCAATGCCCATTCACCCTTTGAGCCATGTATTGTACACAATCACGCCTCCATATATGTCTACAACTTATGAGTGTTTGTATGATGCTCCCCTCATTCATGTCAAAATCTTCAAGTCTGTAGAGCATATATCCATAGAATGTCCAAACTCAAGTCTCTATTCAGTCTCCCAACATGACAATAAAGTCTCGCTTCGCCGTCTTTTACTACGAACAATTGGCAACCATGACGCTTCGGGATTCAACATTCATGCGCCGTCCTCGAGTGTGTAGTATGTACGCTCATAAACCCGAAATGGCACATGCCGTCGCACGCAGAATAGGGGGACGCAGAAGTGTGAACGCCTCCCGTCCTGGAATTCCTAAATCACGGTAATGGTGACATCGACAAGTTTAACGAGACGTGGAGTTTGCTTTTATTTCCTAGGACGAAGACTAATGCACCCGCACTGAGATTTGTTCTTTGGTGAAGGATGTGGTCGACGTGCGCAACTGGCATTTCGAATGCGAATACAGTGTTGTATCGGGGCGACTCAATATTCCCCCGAGTATACGCTGCAGTCATACGACTAGACTAGGCATAACTTCCGGGAAAGCTTCCCCGAACGAAAAGGTTCGACTCTACCAAGTAGTAATTTGTAACATTTATGAGAGCAACGTCCCGCCCATCTACCCGCCATCCGAACTAGGGAGGGATCCACGTTACCTTCATCTATTAGTGCCATGTCGGCAATTGTTGATATAAGTAGTAGGACTAGTCATAAGATGACGTGAATGCTAGGCTTCATTCGTAGCCAGATGTGAGTCATGTGAGTGACTTACCCGCCAGACATTGCGGAAATGCTTATCTATTAACTTAGGGACGACTGTATGGATTTACAAGTAGCTATGGATCTCATAGTGTCAACTCTCGAGGGTAACATACAAGTAATATATGCTACGAGTTGTACCCGACTAGAAAACTGAATAAAATACATTATCAAACTCGGCAATGATAAATCGCTGTTGCACATGCAACACATTCAGCAGACTGATGTTCTATCCGGTAAGGGTACAATTCAATCTTTTAGACGAAGCTTCGATGTTGTGCCCCCAAAAAGTGTCTCATTGTATGCGTTTCTGTATAATACCCGCAGCAAACGACAAATTATCTGCAGATAGCCACACGATTTCTGTGCTACAAGTTGCCAGTGGCAGACTAGGCATTATTAGCACACATCCACCGTGTTTTCATGCTCGAGATGTCGCCCGTTTACCTGACTTCGGTTATATCGTTAGCATGGGCGGCTAATGATATAGCGAGACACGCAAGATTGCTGTCCTCTTGGCGAGTAAATCGCCGTCAGCGTTCCGTATTGCAGATATATTGGCCCCAGTTGATAAAGGCAGAGGCATCACGGAGGAATCTTGGTCCACTTGGACTTGTGTAATGTAAGCGTACTACCCTCCCAGGCCGGGACCAGGCTGAGAGTCGGAGTCCCAGCAGTAATATTGGCATCTCCATGGCACGCTGTGAGCTCTGCGGCGAGTACACATGGAAGGAAGCAGCATTTGGACGCTGCGACGAAGGTCATCCTCCGGCTGGGCCCTGAAGAAACAATTACAAGCACCTAGGATCTGTGGATGAGCAGTGATGTGCTGCATAGATCATTGTCGTGAATTGATGTGCAGCCGAATGTCGAGTGAGAAGGACGGTAAAGGAGATATAAGGTACAACTTGAAGGCATATCCAGTGGCCAGTATAGGTTGGGAGAGCTTTTACTACTCTGTTGATGGGGCCAAGTCATAGAATGAGGTTGTCGACGTGATTCCAGGCCTTCCGCTACATGCTGCTACATAATTCTACCCCTAAGCTCCGGTCAGTACGGCATGTGAGAAAACACCACATATAAGACATTTTAAACCATGATTCTTCTAGCATCCTAACATGAGGTGTTGTTATGCTGATGCAAGTTCTTCGCGTTGAGGAGAAATTAGAATGAACCACACTTTCAAACACCCTGAAGAAGAATTCTGGATGCATACGACCAAACCTCGGATTGTGAGGGAAGAACTATGCCAGGAGCTATTGAGAAATCTGTCACAGGGGTCCGGTTTTAGCAGGAAAATCATGAGACAAACAAGTAAGAGCAATTACAAAAGTTGGACTAAAGATGCTTGGGTCAAGAAGAAAGAGATCAATGGAACCCAATGCCGTGTCGCCAGTACTCAACATTGTCCAGCAGAGAACACAGCCTTAACAGGTAAGCATTTGCTCACTATACAGTCACCGAGTTTCCCCCAGTCCGTGTGCAGTTTTACGTCTAAAGGCTGTTGAACAAATAACACGTTGTATTGGTCGATCAGCGGGCAGGCTGCTGCCGCAGGCAAACGCCCCCTGCTGGCTGCAAAATACTTTGGCTTTTCGAGCGTAAACCCGAGAGTGGCACATCTCTAACAGCAGTTGACCTCTCGGCAACTTATGGAGTTATGAAGAGGCAATCGCAGACTGGTTGTTACGACCCAACCACAGGCTGCAGTATAGGTCGCATGTATGGGCCGGCCACAGAAGCCACCCCGCGATGGAAACAAGTGCTTAAGGGGCAATGGACGGAACGACCCAGGGAAATGGGGCGGGACGAACCAATAAGGGAGGATCACAATGGATCATATATGATCCATTGACAGGATCACCAGAGATCATAAATGATCCGGCAGAAGGATCATTAGGGATCTTTCATGATCCAACGGAAGCCATGCAGTATATATAATAGTTATATATTATAGGGACCCCCCAATTCGCCTCATAGATACACTCTAGCTCCTCAGTCTTCAACCTCCCTACCCCCCCAAATACACCACGATCATTACATGGACCGAAGCTTCGCTTACGAGTTACGACTCTTTGACTCTGATCACTGGTTACGGTCCACGACTGCGTAACGAGTCTAACGACCAACTGCTCAGATTGACCCCCCAGTGATTCTGCCAACATAAACTACGACCAGTTTATCCCTTGGGAACCTACCCGTTACACGTCGAAGATCCTTAATACTTATAGGCCCTTCCCGTGCAACAGTCGTTACACTGATGAGTTCGAGCTTGTAAAAAGGGAGAATCGCAAAAATTTTGACGTTTGCTTCTGTGAGCTGACAAGAGTAAATGGGCACCTTCATTCGGAATGGGTATGCAGAGCTCATGCTCAAGCTTGAGAAAAGGGCGCATCGATATATTCTTGGCGAGGATAATAACGACTTCCAATATTGGGTTCAATGCTAACATCTCGAATCGAACTGACACAGCGGTAAGTAGCCTTCAGTGCCCTCACGGACCTTATTCGCGTTTCATGGTTCATGTGAGATGGGAGCTGGCTTAGTTCTCCAAGTGTTCCTACACACTAAAACTTGGCATGGCTTATTCTAATGCTAATACTCGCTACTCTCACGATGCTCCGGTCTTTAAGTATGGGCAACAACCATGGGTCTACAGACTACCTCGGAGGTAAAACGGATGAACAACCATTTCCGCAATGAAAATTTTGTATATACCTTCGCAAGTACATTCGCAGCCGCCCATACCAGTGGGGCTGACAAGTTTGTCGGGCTTGCTCAAAAAGTATTGTAGGGTCAAGTGCAAATTTTTAAATTACCATGAACACAGGCCGCCAGAGCCACTCTGTGCGGGCGCTTTTGATGTGATGACATGGCCTACAACGTTGTACAACGGAAACACTGTTGACCCATATACTTCGTAGCCATTTGTCGCACAGTAAGACTGACTATAGGGGGGTATAGCACATAAAATACCGTGGCGTGTCCACGCCCATTTAGGGGTTCAGTTCGAGGGTTCAGTTCCAACAGGGTCAGTCAGCAAGGATAGCAGAGACCAGGTCGGCGGGACTGTGTAACGTTATTTCGCATAGAAGCCTCTTGTCTTGGCTTTTAACAGGTGCGGTTTCTTGATATGTGACGGTATTAGCAAAGCCATTTCTCGACCCCTTGCGCTCCTGTCATCTGTTGATTCCCCCCCGATAACTCTGAACCACTTTAAAGCTGAGCATATCAACTTACTCGCACTCCGTTCTCCAACTTCCTACTCAAACTCCACACTCGTTTCTTCCCACATTCCTCCTTTATAATGGCATCCACCTCAACTTCATCGCCCTCAGCGGAGGAGTGGTTCAACCTCGCGGAGGCCTCCCCGCTCGATATCGCGGTGGGGGGATTTGTGCAACGGTGGGAAGCCGCGGTGAGCGAGTTCAACCAACGCGAAGCTAATGACTTGGACTCGTTGCTCGGCCCGAACCGGCCCCCTACCGATATCCGGTCGTGGGAGAAGTCTTGGACCAAGTTAGAATTCGAGAGAATCTCTAGAACTAATGTCCATTTACTCAAACTCTGGAAGTTCTCTTGCAACTTTCTTCACACGTCACCCATCAGTATCCTATCACCACGCCATGGCATAACATATGAGCCGCAGGCCATGGTCCGAATCGGCAACCAGTACGCCCTATGGTCTGAGGCATTCTGCCAAGCACTCAGCGGTTTGGTCTGTCATCCCATATGGGGACAGAAAGCGAAGCGGCTTACGGCCGCTATACAATTTGCAGCAATATGCCGCCTTGATGATCGCAGGCCGTGGACACTTGCGGGTTATTCGACAAGCTGCCAGGACATGAAAAAATTGAGGCAAATGGTCTCTTCCGAAAGGAACCAACAATTACACGAGTTGTGCGAAAATTACATCTTGGAACAAATGGCACGTGGCCAGGAGCCGTCCTGGCATTGCATGCTCTTCTGCCATATAGGCACCTATGCCAGGGAAAACCAGCATCAGATGAACAATCATTCGCCGCATACTCCCCCTCGTCTTGCAGTTCACATCTCGGACCTTCAAGCCGTTACAAAGGCCATTCATCATCTCTATCCCTTCGGCAAACGTCTCGACTTGAGTTATAGCGAAATCATCGCCGGGGCCGCGACAAAGATGCGACTCCAAAACGCTTTTCCGAGCAGTAGCGAGCTTAAGAACACGCACATCAGGTCGTTTTTGAATGAATTACGACTGGCTGGCCAGGACGTCTCCTCCAACAAATCCGTTGGTCGGGCTTCGCAACCGACGACGACGTCTGGTTGCTCAAATGCTAGAAGAGCCACCTCGCACCGCCCCGCGGGTATCGAAAAGAAATGGAAAAGGGGCAACAGGCGCAAGCACGCTAGACATGCCTGAGAGGGGAAGATGCGAAGACAAGAAGGTCATTGCGGAAGCTTGCATATGTAGTGTAATACAAGTTGGACATTTGTAGAGAAATTCCTGGCCTCCCATTGATGCCTCAAACGTGTGTCAACTAGTGGTGGTGTGGTCACTCATCCGCTCTGTAACTACCTAGGTACTCCGTACTTTGAACCTTTGAATGGCTTGCATGACCGGATGAAGACGTCAACTGGTAGATCTTGTCACGGCATGGTGTCGCCAGCACGCTCCGCTCCGGGTTCAGCAACCCTCGCATCTCGTGCGCCTCCCCTCCTCAAGTGCCTCCCATCCGAAAGCCACATAAATCTTCAGACTCGAATGACGACTTGGCGAAAGATTATGCTCAAACAACTTTCTCCGCAATGTGTGCCATGGCTGCTGACCCGCACTATCCGCCCCTGTCTTGGCACTCGGTAGTACGACTACAAACGACAATTTGACCCCCCACCCCGAAAGGGTCTTCAATCAGAACTACTACTTGTACTCACAACTACATGAATGCAAACGGCCGACTATTTATGTGAGCAGTGTTCCAACATTCATATGGAAAGCAGGCAGAATGAAAATCTAGGTTGGCCACAGACCCTTCACTACCCACCATCCCGATGGCGTGCCGCTGCTTTCCCTCAACGGGACAAATCCGCCAAGAAGCTACCAGACATCTACTCCTGGAGACGTTGTCAGCTTTCCACTGCCCTCTTCGCGCTGAGCGGGCCTGATGATTTCAAGACGTGCAGGCAATGGGTAAAGGGTCCGGGACTGGAAACTGCCAGGTTTCGGATGTTTTGGTTCGACACAAACTTCCACTTTTTAACTTCTGATAATTGGATATCTTCTTTTTGATTTCCTTGAATCGCATGCCCGTGGCAATAGGATTGTGTCTGACTTTCGTGGCCTTTGCTAGGCGTATTGGCCCTCGCCTTCGGATCACAACCTCGTGACAAGTCCAAGAAATCCAAATACAGCGGTTAATCTATAATGGACGAGCTCAAATCGATAACCAGGTACCTCCTTCCGTTACCACCAAAATCACCCGACGGCCGGGACCAATGGCCCTCTCGGACTGCTTTCCTTCTCGCGGCAACGGGCGGATGCGCTGGTATTGGTAATCTTCTTCTGTATCCGTCGCAAGTCTTCGACAACAACGGCCTGCAGTGGTTCATACCATACGATATGTGTGTCTTCCTCATTGTTATTCCGGTCCTGATTCTCGAAATCGCCATTGGTCAGGCATATCGTGGAGGCTGTGTGATTGCCAAAAACTCTATCCATCATCGTTTGAAAGGCGTCGGTTTGAGTTTGCTGTATGTTGGATTCGTGGTTAGTCCATACTTCGCGGCAAATCTGGCTTGGATCATGATGTACTTTCCGAGCTCCTTTCAGAGCCCATTGCCTTGGGAAGGGCGGGGCGACGCGTTCTTCTATGAGGACGTCGTGGCCAATGTTGAGCCTGTGCCAGGTAACTCTTCTGCAGACGGGAAGGAGGTCATCAAGTATACGTCGAATCAGGGAGTAGGTATGATAGGCGAGACAGTCGGATGGACCGTATTTACGTGGTTTTTGGTGTGGGTTTCCATCTTCCATGGTGTTGGACTGACTGGGCGAGCAGTCTACTTCACAATGGGGCTCCCGATTGTCATCACCGTCGTGCTCATCGGCCAGTCATTGTCGCTTGAAAACGCGTCTCAAAGCTTCAAACTCTTCTGGGCCACTTGGAACGGTGATAAGCTCGGAAGCGGCGAAATCTGGCAGACGGCATGCGGCCAAGTCTTCTTCTCGACTGGCGTCGGCTTCGGCTACTTCACCTCCTACGCATCGTACAATCAGAAATACTCCAACGCCGTCATGGACTATATTCTCATAGTGAGCAGTAATTTCCTTTTTGAGAACATTGCCGCCTTTGCTGTATATGGTGTCGCTGGCTCGGCTGTTCCCCCAGGAAGGTGTTCACCTTGGCAGCTCCACCGTTGGTTTCAATGACTCTTCCTTCTGCAGTCACACAGATGCGCGGTGCTGATTTCTGGGCTGTTCTAAACTTCTTCACTCTTTGCACCATAGCCTCCCTCATTATTAGCAAAAGTCCAGAGGAGCCCACGCCCAAGTTCTGGCGAAAGAATGTCTTCACTAAACGGCTCTGGTACTTGGATTTCTACTCTGTAAGCACAGTATCCGATGATTCTCTTTGATCTGCAATGCCAGTTTATTAACACTTTGCCAGGGCAATCAACTCCGCCGAGATCTCAACGAGATTATTGTGTGCGAGAACAAGTGAGGTATCCCATTCTTTTGGGGCCCTCTCACCCGCTACGTGTCTGCACCATTCTTGCAATCGTATATAGCTTTTTCTACCCGTCCTTTTGTCAGCTTCGTGGAGACCCGCTCCATATCTTGGGTTTGGTGTTGGCCATGTTGCCTTGCTCATTGTCGGATGCGGTTTTGTTCTTCCAAGGTGGCTGGATGTTCTGATACCGCCGACTCGCCGGGGATGGGGGGAGGAAAATCAGACATTGGAGCGAATGTTTCGCCTCGACATTCACAGTTAGAAGAAATAGATCGTTCTAAGGCGGCTGGGACGGGTAGCAATAGAAAGCGGGGGACCGAGCATGTAAGAACAACGCTGAAAGAGTGAGACGGCCACCCATGTTGTGAACGTCGAATGGCGGTACAAACCAACTAGGACTATATCTAGTTCAAACTTAGATTCGAGGACAAGCTGTGATGTTCGGGCGGGACATAGCTACAGTCATGTATCATGTCTACTAAATGCTTATAGACGTGTTCCATCTTGCCCTTTTGTTCCGAGTAACGGGAGCGCACTCATTTACACCATTCGGGACTGAAGCTCCTTGCTCTCCTCTCTCAAGCCCTTCAGCTGCTTCTCGAATTCCTTGTTGGCCCATTCCCAGTATGAGGTCCATATGCCAGCTGCCCCAGCATTGCTAGTAACAGCTCCGGCATTGCCAGTCATGGCCTTCATCTTGTCTCCAAGCAATAATGTGACCCTCAGCACACTCTTGTTGGCCTCCTCTTGCTTCTCAACGTCTTGTTTAACAGCATTATCTTTTAGCTTGATGGATAATACTCCTCGATATGCTTCTGCAATAGAGTCAAGTCTCCGGGCTGTTTCGTCTGGATCAATGACAATGAGTTTCGAGACCATGAGATTGCAGAGCTGTCGGATATCATTGTCGTCCTTTAGGCCGGCCACAACCCGATCATAAAAGTCAATATTATTGATCCGTGTAAACGCGGTCTCCATGAGGGCGTATAAAGTCTCGTAGGCGCTCTAATTTATCAAACTATTAGCAAACTGCGCGACCAGAGATAACCAAATATCGACTGTACCTTTCGGACTTCCAGGCCATCATCCACAGTGTGTTTGAATGGGCCTAACATGACCTCCTTGACGAGTTCAGGTTTGATTATTGATTCGCCCAGCACAAATGGCATGAGCTCACCAAGATGTGGCAAAATAAGGTCAGGCTTGTTGTGTGCCGCGGAGTTGAGGGTTGACATGGCTAGTCTTCGAATTTCTGTGTCCGTGTCTTGCAACATTACCAGAAGCATGTCGATCAGATAGTTCTTGAGCTCGGTATCAAATGCTTCCTCGCTCTCAGAGAGAGCGTAGCGGACGGCTTGCACGGCCATGCCTCGAATGCCTGATGATGTGTCTTTAAGTAACGCCTGATACGAATTAGCGACAAAGAAAATCTCAGTTTTAATGAGCAGAAATACCTGAAGCTTGGTCATAAAAGAGCCGGGGTCAAGGATCACCAGTCGCCCTACACATTCAGCACAAACAACTCTGTTGTCGGCGGCTTCTGAGGCTTGGCGTAATTGATCCCAGATAGGGACGGCATATTCTCTTATGTCGACAGATTGGACGGGAATGGACTGGAGGATCTCTTTGATAGACTGGATGAGAAGATACTGAGTGTTCCCTCCCGCTTGCATCTTTTCCAAAATAACAGGCAGGAACTCTGAGGCATTGCCTGATCCAGCGCGGCCAAGTGCAATGGCGGCTGCAAGAGATACTTTATCGGGTTCTGGATGAAATTGTCGCAAGAACAAGTCCGGTCTCATTGGTGATGATGATCCGAGTCGCATGCCAGTTTCTCCAAGGACTGCCAGGGCAAGACTAACCCGAGCCTCATCACCAATCTTGGAGCTATTTTCCAGCTCAGAGATGAAACTATCAACAGAAACTCCTGCTGAAGTGTCACCTGTGACAAGCAGCGTACCGATAACCTTACCAACTACAGAAGGGTCACCGGAGATACTAACATCTTTTAGTAGCCCTTGCATGAGTGTATGGCTGGCACCACTTTCACCAATCCTGGCCACCAACTCCAGGAGCTGATCTAAAGCAATTCCGGCAAAGTGGGACTTCAAGAGCTGGCAAAGAGCGGCAACCAAATCCTTAGAGACTGTGACATCGGCATGTGACGGTGTCAAACTGGCAAGTATAACCAGAGCCGGTCCAAGCAGATGCGTGTCGCTGTTTGTAACGGCTGGCATTAATGCAGAAACAACGCCATCAACTGTCTGCTTCTCAAGTTGACCCTGAGCAGCTTTTGACAGGATTAGATGTTTCAAAGCATTAACACTCGAGCCCCGCAGAGATCGATTCGCTTTGCGGAGTTGGGCTGACAGTTCAAGTGCAACATCCTGGATCCAGCCTCTCTCAAGTTCATCCGGGCTAGATGCGAATGCTGCCACATTATCCACAGCACGCACCGCAGCAAGTCGAGTAGTTTCATTCTTCAACCTTTCACGCAAGATGTTGAGAGCCTTCATCCGCTTATCTGGAGACAAAAGATTGGAGCCATCGCCGAAAGTTCTCGAGATTAAAACGCCTAATGCATGAATGGCTCGTTGGCGAACTTCAGCATCAGCATCGTTTGCTGAGCCCTTGTCCATGAGGACTTCATAGAGTGATTCTAGCTCGGCCTTGAACTTGGAGCCTGAGTTTCGGGAACGTGGAGGAGTAATGGTCTTGACAAGCTCTTCAGCAGTTCTAATGGCTTCACTAGAAATCTTGTAAAACCGATCGTGTACTGCATTAATAACTCCAGCAACGATCTTCGTAAGATACGGCTGGAGGACTGACGACGAATGTGTCTTTGAAATGTCACTTATCAGTCGTAATGTTGCGATACGGAGTGTACTTAGCGTTGCAGATGCAGAACCCCCGGCAGAAGCCAATGATGAAGCCGTGGCTCCGTGCCCAGTAGACTTTGCAGCATCAAGAACTGGACCGATGAGATCTGGGAAGAATAAAGCCAAACCCCCTCGCTGCACCAATACAATGTCATCCAAAAGGTTGATAATGGACTGCTTTGTAGGCACAGTTTTGCCTTTTAGTTGCTTGATAGATGCCTTGACTATACCAGGTGTAAGTTGTGCCAAGTCCGCGCGAGGGCCAGTAGTAGGCACCCTCTCCAGAACCGGTGACGTGAGACCTGAGCCCGCCATGAACTGCGAAACTGTCATTGCAGTTCCAGCGCTGCTCTGTCTCCGACGCTTGCGGTTAAGTGGCGCGGGTACTGCGACAGGAGGATCTGTATCGTCCAAAGAAAAATTAGCTACATGTAAGCCCTCGCCGGTCTTACGAATAAGAAGTGCTAAAGCCGAAATAATCTCCAGTCTAACATTTTCTTCGCGTTCATCGATGCGCTTAATGAGAGAAGGAGCCGCCTGGCTATACAAGACGCCGTTATCCAGGAGGTCTCCGCTGCCACGGGTTGATATGAGGGTATAAAGAGCCTTGGCAGCACAGCGCCGGACCTTCCAACTGGCGTCGTCGTCGTCGTCTTCAAAACCATCATCGGCGTCAAAACCATCATCTTCATCCTCTTGGTCTTCATCCTCATCCATATCGACATCATCGTCTTCCTCGTCAACCGCGTAGTTGGGATCGTACTTGAGGTATCGGAGCGTGGCCGCAATGATATCGTCGGTGAACGGGCGCATTTCTTGGGGACACGAAGCGAGAAACGCTTCAACTGATACCAGGGCTGCCTCCCGAACTTCATTAAATTCGATACCAATGTCTTCTCCGTCACTGAGCCTTTCCAGGTGATCTTGAAGCTCTTCCTCGCTGAGGGCCTTGAGCATAAGTGGTACAGTACTGGCAATATGCGGCCCGAAGCGAACGGGGATAGACCGAGCCATACTTCCTATAATGGAGATGTAGAGACGTCGCGAAACAGCACCGGTGCTAGGGTCAGAAAGCCTGGATGCCAGCCTTTGAATAACGTGTCGCAGGTGCTCATCCGCTAGGTAGACAGCAAGCATAGAAATGGCAACGACTGCACGCTTCTTGACGACGGAAGAATGTCTATTGCTCTCAAGAAGCTGCATAACAACGTGCTGCATTGCTTCAACCTCGACAGACTGGAGCAGGGGCCCGAAGCACCGCACTACTTCTATCAAGACGTCAACGGTTTCTGGGCTGGCATCGTCTCCCTGCAGCATACCCGCAGGTACCAAGGGTAATGATATATCGGTAGTCTGTCGACTTGGAGTGGCCGCATTCGGCCCAATCAGACGAGGAATAAGAACTCGTCGAATAGCGTCATACGATTGCTGAACATCGGGAGTTGTGGCAATTCCTGGAACTGGGCGAGGGAGAGCTATTATGACAGATCGAAGGGCGAGTGAGGTGACGGCATTGTCGACCGAGTTCTTCAGTACCATTGATGACAGTTTGTCAATCATGGGCGCGATAATAGCCATAGGGACTTTGCCAACAAGGGGGGCAACACTACAGAAGAACTGTTAGAAACTCATGACGTTTTATTACTCGGGGGCATTGTTGCAGACCATTTAATAGCCATATTCTGCACCTCACCGTTCTGGTCATCGAGAGTCTTGATGATACTGTCAACCGCTCGAGCTGCAGTATTGTAGTCATGCTGGAGAAAATCGGGTTTGGCTATATTCAACAAGTGCAAAAGGTCGTTCAGTGACATAAATCGAAAGTCCGGATCAGCATCACCCAACTTGGAAATGAGGCTTGTCACCGACTGCGGTGTCGGGTTGATGTTGGCGGTTGCCGCCATGCTGGCAGCTCGAGTTTCTGCCAGCGAGGATGACGACGCTCAGGTTTGACTCCGCCAAGCTTTCGGGAAGAGGGAGATGTGTAGAGGCGGAGAAATTTTGCAGATTCTGTAGAGAGTCGAGCTTTTTTTCTTTGTTGGCCACGCGAGGCCAATCTTGGGTTGCCTCAAAACTACAGAAGCAGTTTCTTTTGCTCTTGTGGTAGGTAACATGCACAAACAAAAGTGAGGTGGTGGGAGCAACGGATGACAACCTAAGGTGGGGTCAATCCAACCTCGTAGGCAGGCGCAGAGGCTCCCAAACTAAACCCAGTCCCCTCTCCTCGACCCCAACTTGACTGGGCCAGTAATTTCATCCCAATGCAATAATCATGCCAGGTTAATTTATTACATCGTGAACGCTATAAAGTACACTTATGGAACGGGGTTTTTTCCTTCAACAAAATTGGGCAGCTATTGCTCATTTACTGCAACAAGTCTCGCCTCTTATTCAGGATTTGAGCCTCGACCCAGGTTTGGAGATGATTCTGATGAAAATTGGATGACAGACTTGGTAAGTACTACTACTCCTGTGCTTTTGCTTCTCCCAGTTCCGACGCCCTAAACTTCCAATATCCCTCGCGTACTGGATCCCATTTCTCCCAAAGCCTTTGCAGACAGAGAATAGCCTTGCTAATATCGCCAGCCTGGTGATAGACGTCGACCAATAAATCCAAAGCGTGAGAACTTTTGACGTCCTCACTATCTTCACCCAAGTTGGATATGAAACTCTCTGAGAAATCACGAACATCGGATAAGCCTCTTCCACCCTTGGCGAGTACTCCTCGGAGATAATTCCAGCTGGATTGGTTTTGGGGCGCCAAAGCAATCTTTTCTTTTGCGTAGTCTACCTCCCTGTCGATGAGGGACCCGGGAATCTTTGGGTCATGCGTAGTGGCAGGTAAATCTGGCGTGGCAACACTAGGGTCCGAGAAGACTAGAAAGAAACGGTGCGCCCAAGCAGAATTGTTTCTTAAATCATCTTCAATCAAATTTTGCGTCGCGGCGAGTTCGGCGATGTTCCACATGCCAAGTTTAGTCACCAAGTATTGCCGGAAAGACCAAACATGATAGTTCTTCGAGTCCTCTTCAAGCATATTGTTAATGAACTGTGTCTCGGTTCTTCCTAAAGTCCTGATCATTTCTTCATCTCCATCGATGCTGGGGAAGTAATAGTCTAGCAGAAGCTGGCGATGGTGCCATATTTGGTAATTCTTTAGGTTCGCCAGGGCTACCTGGTTCAGCCACTCGATCTCTTCAGGGACGGGCAAGTTGAGTGTCTGAATAATCTTGAAGCGATATAGCCACACGGTGTAGTGTGCAGGATTCATAGAAATGACATGTTCTGTCAGGCGGAGACTTCTTGGAGAGCACTCATCTGCAGCCATGACAGCGCGAAGATACGAAGTGGCTAGGCATATCAGCAGCAATTCAACAAGTCACACTCAAGGACACCTACCTTCGGCATAGTCGTCAGGGTAGGCAATCTTAGATAGGGCATCGTCGGGTTCACTGTGAGGAATGGGGATCACGTCGTCCCATTCTGGGTTGTTTGAGAGAGAACCCGTGATTTCGCCATAAAGATCTTTGTTCAAGGTGGCCATGTCTTTCCGTCTACTCTTTTCTTGCGCTAATTCTTCGTCCGAGAAGTCGCTGCCACTAGCGATTGCTTTGCGTCGGTTGATAAGAAACTGACGATGATGAATATCTAGAGCCGCCAGTTGAGCTTGCTTGATTAAAAGCTGGTCAAACCTGTCGAGCTGATATGCACCAATGTCGTGACCTGTTTTGTCCTTGCCCCAACAGTAGCCCTGTCGAAGGCGGCGAATGGGCAGACCGTCCTTCGTGACTTGTTTCCAGTACTCTCTTTCCGTCTTATTAGACAAAGGGATTTTATGATCGGCGATCGGTTGAATGAGCTTTGTGTAACTGTATGCTTTCTTCTCTGCGGGCGTTAAACCGAGGAAGCCAGCTTCTTCAATTCGTTTTTCAACGGGGTTCGTCTGGTAGTAACGTTGAGAAGTTCGATCGTTCAGTGTTTCTGGACCTGGTCCAGGAGCTGTGCGAAGTTTGCATCAGTCCTGAAGCTGTAGCGCTATTTTGTAGCCAGCAATGAACTTACTACTCTTGGGCTCCGGGTTGATCGGCTTTGTGACTACTTTCGCCTTGGGCGGCATGGCTGCAGTGTGGATGGTGGGGTTAATGGTCGAGAATGGCGGAGATGGTGTGGAAAGAGCTATTGTTCTGGCACGGCCCACCGAGGTTTTTGCTAGGCCTTTGGCGTCAAGTTTACATGACTCTGCTCAATCATAATATGCGTATAAGGACTTTGAGATCTAACACAGACTGGGATGCAGAGGCGAAGAGTATCATCTAAATACAGGTATATCATAGTCGCCTAAAGCTGTTGAAGAAAGCCTAAACTAACCAAACGCCAAACCCACAGCTAAAAGCGGTTTCCCTTTGAATACAACATCACAGTAATGCCAGCACTAAAGGCAACACGTATTTCATATTCACCTCTTTCCTTGTCATTTAATCGCAAACACTCCCACTGTGACTCGCTTATAATGCACGAAAATTTTGCGACATTATTAGCCATCTCTTGACGCCTCGAGGAGGGTTCCTGGCCATAGAATCCCAATTTGGTACCAGCACAAAGGTCTCGTTAAACATTTTCCGTGGTGCTTCCCGTCCTTTACCGAATTGCACTCTTCCCATAGTCGTGACCACAATGATCATCCGGCTTCCATTCTTCTCTACTTTATTATTGTCATGAATGTTGCCGGGTGCGCCATACTTTGATGAGGGGTTGATAACGTGCGCATCTAAAGATTCTATCTCGTAGCGTACGCCTTGCCCTTGCGCCTCTAGTAGCGTGGTGTAATCGGCAGGCGTGGCAACAACAGAGCCGTTGATAGAAATGTCGGCGGCGATTGAGTAGCGTGGTGAAGAGTTGATATAGAAGGGAAGAAGTGTTGATCGGTTGTTTATGGCCTGGTAGTAGTGACTGACGAAGTTTTCTGCAGCTAAAGGCGAAAGTCTGTGAGAATCGTGTGGAACTACCCTCGTCTGGGTCGGCTCACCTTCGCTGGAGGCTTTAACCTCAGTATCTGAGTCTGGTAGAGGCATATTGCTGCTGGGTCAGAAAAACTTGTAGAACCCAAGTACTGGAGGGAGTGGATGGAATGACGCGAATCGCCAACCAGAGCCGGCCTCATACACAGTTATCTGTCAAAGACATTCGCACAGTGTGTATCGTGTGGTCCCTGCTATTTCTCGTTGACGCCTTAACTATTGAATTCGACTCGACTGTATTCCCTTGATAGACATTGGCCAGACGCTCATTAAAATGCGACAATCGTCGCCGCGCGTCCTCGGACGCTTACTACAAGGCCATTTCAAGTTTTCGACACCACTTGAATGGGGTTGCAGCAGCTGTCAACCCCGGCGTATCTTTCAAGCGCGGTGGAACACGTCCGACAGATCTCCGACTGCGGCGACAGACAAGCCCTATTACATTACAACGCCAATTTTCTATGTTAACGCTGGTATGAATGCCAGTTTCGCATTGCTTGTGGTGGTATCTAACTTCTGGAGACTTCAGCGCCCCATATTGGGCATCTTTACACTATGGTTCTCGCGGACGTGTTGAAGCGATGGCAGCAAATCAAGGGCAAGGAAACCTTTTTCCTCACAGGAACTGACGAGCATGGCATGAAGATCCAACGAGCGGCCGCCAAAGAGGGAATAGCACCCAAAGAATTTTGCGACAACTACTCGAACAAGTTTCGAGAGCTGGCCGCTGCTGGCGATATTTCGTACGATGCTTTTATTCGAACAACGGACTTGGAGCACAAGGAAGCCGTCAGTGAATTCTGGCTGCAGCTTAAACACACTCTGCCTGAACATTTGGAACTCTACAAAGGAACGCATGAAGGGTGGTATGCTGTGAGCGACGAATGTTTCTACCCAGAAGACCTGGTGCGGCCAGACATTGTACCCCAGACAGGAAAGAAGATTATGGTTAGTGACGAAACAGGAAGCGAGGTGGAATGGGTGAAGGAGGAAACCTGGTTTTTCCCCTTGACAAAGTACAAGGATGCCCTTTTGAAATTCTACGACGAGAATCCCAATTGGATAACTCCAGCACATCGGATGAATGAGGTTCGCAACTGGGTTGAAAATCACTTGGAGGATTTGTCGATCACGAGGCCTGCGGCTCGGCTAAGTTGGGGCATCCCGGATCCCGAGGACCATAATCAGACGATATATGTTTGGGTTGATGCGTTGATCAATTACATTACTCAGGCAGGCTATGGCAGGAAATGGCATTCCTCATCGGATAACACGGGACTTTGGCCTGCGGATATGCAAATTATTGGAAAGGATATTCTGCGATTTCATGCCATATACTGGCCAGCTCTCCTCATGGCCCTAGATTTACCTCTTCCCAAACAGTTACTCTGCCATAATCACTGGACCATGTCCAATCGGAAAATGTCTAAATCACTTGGCAATGTGGTCAATCCCTTCTTTGCTGTGCAACGTTGGGATATCGATCCTTTGCGCTACTTTCTCATGCGAAACGGAAGCTTTACTAAAGATATGAGTTACTCAAATCAGCTGATTGGGTCAGTTTACGCCAAGGAGCTGCAGGCGAATATTGGTAACCTTCTTTACCGGATTGCCCGACCAAAGGTTACTTCGAAATGGTCGACTCTCGAAGCGGTCGGAGCATTCCGCCGGGGTGCCTTTGGGGAAATCCCTGGCCACACTTCGCAGCAGCTCTTTGTCAGCCTGGACGATCATTTGGAGAAGATCACTTCCGCATTTTTCGAGGAGATGGAGAAGTTCAACACTGGAGGTGCTATTCGCGAAGTTTTTAATCTTCTTCGTGAGGTAGGCTTTACCTGTGGGATGAAATTGCTGAAACAGCACTGACAAGCTGCAGACAAATCGTTACGTCTCTGATACGGAACCATGGAATCTCGTCAAGAGCCCGAACCCCCAATCCCGTATATTGCTTAATTTGGTTATCTACAATTGCGCGGAGGCCTTGCGTATCGCTGGCATCCTGTTGCAACCAATCATGCCTACCAAGGCATCCTTGCTGCTGAATGAACTTGGAGTTAGGGAAGATCGACGCACTCTTGAGTTTGCTTCTAAGGGCAAGGACCCCGAATACGGCACCGAAGCTAAGACGGGAGACTCAGCAGCTAGATTGAAGAAATGGGACACAATCTTCCCCCCAACGCCGAATGCGAATGACTCAGATGCCGAGATCATGGAACAACTGAGCTCGGCACTGCATGACAAAACGAAGAATAAAATGAATCAAGTTGCGGAGCTCCTGGCTATGGAGGCCCGCATGGGAGAAGAGGCCGTGGCCAAAATGCTTTCCGAAATGCATGCTGCGAGGTCAAATACTGTTAAAAAGACGCATCGGCTATAATCCATGTCTTGTCCAGTTAGCAACTTTGTCTAATTATCTGTATAACATGTAATATATGTAAAACCAAATGTAATCAGCACCTGTCATCTTGTAACAAATAGATGCCACACATTTTCTTTCAGAAACGCGAAAATGGGCGACATCCTTGTGGTAACGTGCTGTGGTCCCATTGTGGACGTAGACCTGGTCCAAAAAGTTGCCCCCACTGACAAATTCTAATTTCACAAAAATTGTCCCACTACTACGGTTATAGCCTTGCCGGCTGACAGCGTCAATCACAAACATGAGAGTCAATCAAGCCACAGGCAAGTCGACCACAATGAATTCGCGGTGTATAATTAACACGACGTAGGCATCAGTACGAATAAAGTGCTGCTGGTCCCGTATGAAGCTCATCATGTCCGGAAATACCACGAATGGATGGAAGATCCGGTACTTCCATTAGCCAACCCAACGGCTTCAATACGCATCGCAATCTGACTTGCGTTCCAGGCACTTCAAGAAGCGACAGCTTCTCAACCACTGACTTTAGAAGAAGAATACGAGAATCAGCAATCCTGGCGAACCGCCCACGAAAAACTCACATTCATAATATGCCAAGCATTGCCCACGGCAGACCGAGCATCGCCATCAATAAAGGCGAAAGTGGTGGATGCAGATGACCGCATGATTGGAGACATCAATTTCTTTATTTACCAAGATGATGATCCTGAAGAAACTCTACAAAACCGGAAAGCCAATGTCGCCTTGAGAGGGGAAATCGATGTCATGATCGCGAGCACAGAGCATCGAAGGCAAGGATTCGGAAGTGCCTCAGTACAAGCCTTACTAATGTATTTGCGCGAAAATATGAAACACATACTGAAGGAGTATACATGTAGTCTTAAACTTGGACAAGAAGTTGACCTAGCTGAGCTCATGGTCAAGATTCAAGAAGGAAACATTGGCAGTAGAAGATTATTCGAGAATCTGGGTTTTAACCAGGTTGGGGATGTGAATTATTTCGGCGAGGTCACGTTACTAATTGCGTGGGCGAAGGTTGAGAACTTGGTTGATGGATTGTTGAACTCCGGTGAGGTATATCGAGAGGTCAGGTATGAAATTTCATAGAGGCATAGCAAGTGGGGATCAGCTCATTCTGAGGGATTGATCTTCAGCATTGCGACATCTGCGGTGGGAAGTCACGCGGGTTGCAGATTTTTTTTCGCGAGCAGCCTTCAAGTTCCTTGGCCATCTGCTGTCTGGTACGCGCGAATCAACAAAAAAGGCCCGTGCAATCGTTGATCTAACCGAGTTTCTCATTCGGGTGTACTCTATCTTAACGAAGCAAAATGAGCATTCAAGATGTTCCGACTCGGGATGAAGGGAACTTGATCTTTGCAAGCCTCCAACTCCTGGATGGCCAGTCAAACGATGTCCTGCAGAAACCATGTTAGGCCCGGGTTTTTCGTGTTCGTATACGCCCTATTGTCACAAAGTCCTTTGTAATACGACATCAATCGACATCATTCGACATTATCCTCCGAAGTTTCTCTAAAGAGGCCTCTGAACAGCTCCATTCCGGCACTACCCCTTTTCTCTTTGTGGTGCTAATAGCTTAGACCTGCGAGAAATCACGCATTCGATGACTCACTACGGCCAACCATAAGAGTTGTGACTGAATCAGGATTGGCATCAAGGATCATTGCGGGTTCTTCTACGGTGCCGATTCCTCAGTCCTCCGTATCTCTCGAAATATAGACTAGCAAAATACCCGAAATGACATAAGGGCGCAAACGGAAACTTGGACTGCTAAAGCGACTCAATCCAAAGTCAAACAGGCAACTTCAGAAGAAATTATGGAACACTACAACTTCGACCCAGAACGAGTCAAGCGCGTTTCTTATTGTGAGAAAAAGTATCCTCTGGAAATTCAGGAACCCGATCCTTCTTGGCCCGTCCAATTCCAAGCTCTGGAGTCGAGCATTGAGGCAGCACTGGGTCTCAAGGCAATCTGCATCTCACATGTTGGATCAACTGGCGTCCCCGGTCTGTCGGCAAAAAACATAATCGACAGTGACCTTACAGTAGCAGACTGACGACTACATACCTGCCTTAGAAGCCGCTGGTTTCCAATGGACGACTTGCGAACGGAACTGTCAGAATCACGATATTTTTGTGGGCTACGAGCCAATGACGAACCTGCATGTCTTTTCGGAAGGGTGTCCAGAACTGATTCGACATCAATGTTTAGAAACCATATTATCGATAATCAAGAAGACAGGGAGCTTTATATTATGGCAAAGAGAGAAGCTTACGCTGTGGCTGCCAAAAAATGGCCAGCGTGGATGGGTGGTTACCAACTGAATAGGCGCATGACATTATTGTATCAAGATTTGTTGCTCAGAGATGAAGAGAGGGCAGTGGCTTTGTGCGCTCTGCACTGCTCGGCAACTTGGCCTAGAGTGCGAACATAGCAAATTTGGGAAGAAATAGAAGGCTGGGTTGAAAGGAGTTGCTTCCCCGTTGCTCACAAGTACGCTGATGAATACATCAGACGCCATTGTTTGGTAGTGGCCTGGGCTGTTATAGCAATTCAATGTTGACTCCTATTGCAATACATACGACTCATTGACGGAGATTCCTCGTTTCCAAGTTTTCAAGTGACAACGAGCTTCCATTTAACACCAGATTAAGCTATATAACATGCGTACTCTCTTCATCCTAGTACCTTGTGAATACCCCACATTTCCCACGAGGAGATGCTCATAACCATCGAATATGTGAATCTGTCCAACGCAATCCGCAATTCTTGGTGATATACGGAGCACTTTTTAGGGAGTATCTCTAGTTCCCGCTTTCTGTATTCTTGATAAGAGCACCATCTCCTGCATGCCCAATGACTTGCTGAGTCGTAATAACAGAGGCATTAAGCTAATTTAGTAGATACCTATGACCTACATACATATTGGTAGATGATAGAAATACCAACAATCTAGCTGGGTACACAGGGCTACATTGCACTTGTCGCACCTGTAATTCGTCTGCCTAGCCCGCATCTTTGAGCAACGCTGATTTACCTCGCCAGAAGAGGCCCTTGTTGAGCTTCTTGGGTAAATTACACCCACCTGCCGGCGCTGACAGCCAAGACATGAACTGTATTTAGTGCTTTTGACGTGATGATGCTCTGCAAAGGGCGTAAATTCGTCTCCGGCAGAAAAATTCTTCCGTGTGGTTCCGTGCGAATTGAACTGCTTAATTAGGCCGACTGCGATTGCCTCTCGCCAAACGGTCTGCTCCTTGTACGATTTCCAATTATACTTCTTTTTCTGTTGCAAGATATATGTGTTTACAAGGACTGTGTAAAGAAGAAAAGTCCAAGCAATAGCCCGCACAGAGTCGCGTTGAATTGAGTGTTTGTAGCCGTGATGACTTCGTAATTGATCGCCTCTGTCCACGGAATTCATGTGTTTATTGTAGCAAAAAGCGACGGAAGGCATTTGCATGACCATCTCTGACGCACTAAAAAGATCCCGGTGCTTGCCGTGCTCTTGCCTTTCTTGAACTTGGCCGGCGTCGCTGCGGCTCCTCAATGTTGCCGGCATTAAAAAACGAGTTGAGAAATAACACCAGACCGTTATCCTTCCAAGCAATTGGGTTTACCTACAAACCAATGAATTAATATAGGAAATACTATGGAAGATACATTGATAGATTACCTGATCATATCTGCTCGTAGCCCATCGAATTTCCACTTTACTTGACCCCTACTATCGTGGCTTTTAACTAGAGCAAAGGGAGGATCAATGTCACTATTTAGACGAACTGTGCCCGTGGATACACCACCGTGATCTCGTAAGGCGCGTCTCAACTGCGGCGTTGTAAAAGGATTATCAAAAAAGACACGATAGCTGGTAATTGGAAGCTGCAATACTAGGTCCAATACCGCGGCTTGTGTCTCTGCTAATTAATGCGTGTTAGCTTGTGTTCTGGCCAGAATACCTTGTTTGCGAGGCCTTGAGGCCGGAATGTCGAATTTCCACCGCAAAAAATAACCCTCTTGTGCAATAACCCAAGCCTTGATGCCTGCTGGAGTAGGTATTTTTGGCATTGTCGCCCTTGAGCCAGCTTGAAATCGGATCATACACTTATCTATGGCGATGTGTTTGCCTGGCACAAAGAGATCAGCAGAGATTTCTTGTATATGCTCTGACCACCGGGATGCCTGCGATATGGTGCGTTCGATAGAGCTAGTATCATTGAAGTCGGAGGGTAGAGAGATGCGAAGGTATTGGAAAAGTAGCTGGAATCGGGAATATGTTCCATTTCGTGATTGGGTGTACTAACTTGAGCTCTCCTGGCTTAGAAGTAACCCAGCAGTCAGAGAGTGTGAATTGCTCGGGGCGCAGCAACTTTTTGCTAGGTGCGCAGGATCCCCACTACGCCCCGATTTTTGTGCGGTCAGGCCCGCTGCCAGGCGGCCCCAGGCCCTATAGTACATTCTCAGTATAAATGCATGGCAGTAAATGCCCTTATGTAAAAGGTAGTTGCGTAATTACATGAATTTCTTAATAGCGCCGGCTTAGGTAGGCCTTAAATCGCTTAAAAACGTAGTTTCCGTTATTTTCGTTAAAGTACACACTTTTAGGCCGGATTTTTTAATTATTTAAGCTGTCTAGGCGCCTTAATTACCTATTCGGTCACATCTATTAGCTGTGACAGCGGTAACAGCGTTACAGGAATAAATTCCTTAATTTGAAGAGATCCTTGTCTTTTAATTGGTGCCCTTTACCTGTTATTTATATTACGATTCGATCGTTGTGATAACGGCGGCGGCGGCTGCCTACGGCGTTAATTCCTCGCGGTAAATTTAGGGGCAATTTAAGGGGTTTTAGGGGCCTTCGTCAGCCATCGCGATCTGTATTGTGTTATTAAAGGAGGAAAAACGCTGCTACCTGTTAAAAAATTCATACGGCTGCAGCCTTATTAAAAAATCCGTTGATATTCATTGAAGCTTTTTGGTGTCAAGTAAAGCTGCCATGCATTTATACTGAGAATGTATTATAGGGCCGGGCAGCGGGCCTGACCGCATAAAAATCGGGGCGTAGTGGGGCCGAGCAAAAAGTTGCTGCGCCCCGCGTCAGCTCAATCTCGAGACCCACCGTGTCCATACCGTGAACTCCGCACTTCAACAAACCAGTTTGCATTCACACGCTCCTACATGACCAGCCAATTCAGGCGGCTAATGGTTGGCTATCTGTCTTCCTTCTATGAAACCACTTCCCCGCATTGGAACACGATGCGCTCTCACCGAATCGTGCTGCATACGGATGACTCCCCTGGCGTCCACTAACGGGGCCTCTGACCACGACCTGGGCCGTGGCCATGCCTCTAATGACTAGTAATGAGTCGCTCTTTCCCATCACCATCGGCCATGGCGAGTGAGCAAGTTCGAAAACGACAGATTACAGATGATAGCTCGCATAACTGCCCTCCCATAAAGAAGCGTAAATCGACAAGCACAAGACTTATCGATCCAAAATTCCCCCCAGCTTTTTATGACGCATTATCCAAGATACCATTAACTCTCGATATCTTGCGGGAGCTTGATCGGCGAAACGGAATACAATCGTGCAAGACAAGACCGACAGTCTCTGTCGGTGTATTTTCAAAAACTCTTGCTCGATTCTCAAGACACGGAGGGCCAAATCTTCACCATCTTCGAGGAGTGAGATACATTGTACATCCGCGGTCTACGGTGTCGGCTACTGACAAGAAGTAGTACCCTGGGGCAGAACGAAGCTCGCCTGTCATGGATCAAACTCCATTGTCCGGTTCATCTCGAATTCGATCGACACAGTCCACGAGAGCGACGAGTGTTTCCGCCGGAAGTAGGAGGTCTTCCGCATGCGACAAAGGTTTCCAACAACATCTTATCGACTATAAAATCTATCCCGAGGGATATGAGTCTGGGAACGGTCTTCCCAGTTCCGAACCTAGCAATCTAGATCACATCCAAGAAGCGTTATCTGCTGACAGAGCCTCTTTGTCCCCATCCCAGTTCACACAGTCGACATTTCGGGACTTCAAAAACAAGAACAAACGAGTTATTTTCGAGAGCGACGTTATGAGTGCTGTTATCCCTGTGATATGCGGTAACTCAAGCATAGACAGCCAACAAAACGTCCTCTTTACTGAGTTAGATCCTATAACAAGTACGGATGCGGTAAAGCCTAAACCCGACCTTTTTGATGGCGCATCCCTCGTCAACATCCACGAGGACGTCAGAAATAATCCAATACTGAAATCCAAAGTTATCCCTACCAAGCACCCCAACATTCCAATGGCGCCAAATTTTTTCATGGAGGTCAAAGGGCCTAACGGGAATGCATCCGTGGCACAGAGGCAAGCATGCTATGATGGAGCATATGGTGTCCGTGCCATGCATGCTTTGAAGAATCATGGAAAGACCGAGGAACAATATGACGGAGATGCCTACACGTACAGCTCGACATATCATCCTGCTACTGGCACACTACAACTGTATGCTCACCATGCTACAGCTCCAGTTGATGCTGGTGGCCGGCCAGAGTATCACATGACTCAAATTGATACTTGGGGAATGACGGGTAACATTAATAGTTTTCGGCGCGGAGCCACTGCACTTAGAAATGCCAGAGATTTGGCGAGACAGCAGCGAGACAACTTAATCCAGGCTGCGAATGCGTGTCACGTACGTCCAGAAGTTCAAAAGAACGACGCGGGCTGGCGAGATGCGCATGACGATCTCCAGGGGCAAATTTCCGATGCCTATGATGACAACTCTGGGGAAGATCCTGAGACATATAACACACTGCAGTTTCACAGACGGACGACGGGTCTCCGGACCCTAGCCAAGAATCGACTGCATTGGGGGCAGACGACACTAATTTGAGTTTTGCAACAAGCCTCATACCGGCTTTAGCAATGAACCGTCGACTCGACCCAAACGCGCCAGACAACTGGGCTCGCCAGAAAACTCTTGGGGGCGCCGCTCGTCAAAGAGTCGCACACGCGTGCATGCGAGTGAGCTATTCACGTCTACTGCCACAGGATCGGCTCAGCCATCCAAGCCACCTGAAAGTGAAAAGAACTGGGAAGAATGCGTGGGCACAACACAGCATTTGGAGGGTAAGCAGTCGACAGACTCAGTCGATGCCAGGCACAAAGACGGGTGGAGTCACAGAGAGGAGGATGAGGACACGTATTGTTGGCGAACGAAACATTGCCATACAGTCTCCAGTCTATTATGTTTGGCCCCAAAAGATGCTCGGTGTTCAGGCCAGGAAAGTCATCCCTGGCATCTCCAGACTAAATTTTGTCAACAAGGTGGATCTAACATCTAGTATGTCGCCCATTTCGACGCTAATAGAATATTGCAATACTTTGCAGCACCTTTGGGTAACGAGTATCGCGTCACTGCCAGGCGTACCAAATTTCATTATAATAGACAACCCACAATCTGTGTTCTTTAGACCAGGTTGGCAGCTCTCCCCTCCACCGTCCATTGTCCAGGTGAGATCAGTGGCAAAGCCTGTGCTGGGGGTGTCATAGTCTTCGAATGCTTGGGTTTGGGAGCTTTCGCCGGCCAGAGAGCTCTCGCCAGCTTGGGAGTTGACGTGGCATTCCCGCTAGGGTACGCTTGGAATGAAGTGAGATGTCCGCCTTTTGAGTTAAGTATAGCGCCCGAGACATGTAGTGGGTCTACAGTAACCATCTCGCTTCTGAATTACTGCGGTTAATGAGAGAAATTGTGTCCAGGAGATGCTTGGCATAGTTCTCCGCAGGCCTGTCTTGGTTCCCAATAGGGCAGGTCGTTGTACCTTGGTCGAGGGTCAGTCAAGACGTCCATGGCAGTGATCACGGCGATGGCCATGGCTGGTGAAGGCGTGCTCAGGATGGTTGGTCGAATACGCAAGAGGCGATCCAGGCAGCCTATAACATTGATAATATTTCTTGCGTTATCCAGGTACTTAATTCTCATTGGATATTATCCCCGTAAGGTACTTCGCTGACACTTTAACACAATCAAAGGAAGACCCACCTTGAGATTTCACCAATCAGAGAGCCCAATAAAATTTCCAATCAGAACCACCTTGACTAATTCTCCATGAATAAAATCATCACGTCTCCCAATCTGTCAAAACAACTACTCCCTCGGCCTAAGCCAGCCGCGCCCTCGACAATATGCAGTTCATCACACGCCTCATGCGACCAATGCTCAGCAAGTCAATATCCTCTACGCCTAGGTTTGCGCACTATGAGCGAAATTGAAAAACTCGATCGACAAACTAACTACGACAGGACTTTCACAACTCTTTCTCCCCTCCGTCCATCGCTCACCCCCTCCCTCCGCCCAGCACTCACATTCTTCACACCGGATAAAAATACCTCCTTCGCCAGCGAAACCGTCGATGCTCTCCCAACGAGTACTGTCTCGTCGCATCCGTCCCTGAGTGGACTGCAGCTTCGATTCGGTCCTCGAAACACAATGAATGGACACACGAGATTAGTTCAGAAGCGCAGGCATGGGTTTTTGTATAGAATGCGAAGCAGGACGGGAAGAAAAATCTTGCAAAGAAGGCGACTAAAGGGGAGAAAGCAATTGGCCCAGTGAGCGCGAAAGCCGAACGCTGTGCCTCGCGAGCAGAGCAACAACTGATAGACTGGGTCGCCGATTTGTGCGTGGTCTCCAGATGTGCGGCTGTGAGATGCTGAGGGCGCATTCCCTCAAACGCACGTATGTACATTATGGGTGAGCCATAGAATTGGCATTACATGTTTGCAGAAGAGCAGCCGTGGCAGATTAGACGACCAACGATGTACCACCACCCTGAGGGATTCTTTTTTTTTTTTTTTGCTCCCTTTTGACTACCTAGGTGTCTAGAACCAGAGGGTACAAAGAGTGACTTTGAGCAGCCGTTATTGTCGTTTACATGCTGTCTTCTGTAACCCCCCTCCTTATTCATCGCTCACCCGTTGCTGCACTTTTGCATTTCATCCCATCGACATGACATGAAATCCTCAAATCATCACTGGCACCTCCCATCCATACAGTATATCCCCCATCAACAACGGGGATAACCCAATCCTGTAGCACGACGTCCCACACACTTAGATCCTTCCTAGTCAACTGCAACTCCACAGTCGTACTTTCGCCAGGCGCAAGCGTCTCTGTCTTTTCAAAATCGCGCAGCTGAATAACGGGTGTTTCGTAGGTGCTGTTCTTGGGAAATTGCAGATATGCCTGTACGGAAGCCTTGCCAGAGTGCTTTGATCCAGCGTTGGTGACTACCACAGACAGCTTATAAGCGACATCCCACAATGTGGGATTGCCCCCTTGCCCACCGCCAGCGCGAGGTCCAGGTTTCTGGACTGTTGAGTATCCGCTGGGGTACGGATACTTCTTTTTCACGTCTGCAGAAGCATCTTTCGCTTCTGAGGAATGGAGCCACGAGTAAATGTATCGCCAGTGTTTGTGAAAGCCGTCGGGCATCACAGCTTCGCTAGGCTCGGGTATGTCCTGAGTGTAGTCAAGGATGCCCTTCTTGGATGACCTGGTGGGCGGAGTCTTTTTCATTTGGCCAACTTTGGTGATTGATGCATTCGAGTACGTGAAGTTGGTGTAGCTCAGACCATGTCCGAATGCATATCGAGGCTTGATGTTGTGTTTGTTGAGCCATCGATAGTCAATATACAAGCCCTCTGTGTATGTGTCTTGTGGTTGGTTGATATGAGGGGTACTTATCAATTTGGTTACGCTCTCCGGTAGGTCTTCCTCTTTTTTTGTAATAGAGTAGGGAAGATGGCCATTTGGCGAGACGTCGCCGAACAAGACATCAGCAAGAGATTGTCCAGCTTCTTGGCCTGGCAGGTGAGCAACCAACACTGACTTCACTGCAGGCAGGTCGATCCACTTCTCGAGTATCATTGGGCCAACCGTGTGTGCTACCACAACGACATTCTTGTATTTTGAGGCGACATCTTGGACCAGCTGGTCCCCGTGGTGCCATGCGTACAGACCAGACGCATCCCGGTCGCCGTGGTTGTTTTCAACGGTATAAGTGTTCTCTCCCGAGTCGGACGTAATGAAGACAAGGGCAACATCGGCATCGTTTGGTCCGTCAATTCGTTCTGGGAACGAGTCCGTGTTGTAGAACTGGACATCCTGGGACCTGGCCCTGATACCAGAAATTGGGTCATCAAGGTACATGTAATCCACCGTGCCAGATCCCCACCCTTGCCCGAGAGTACCCTTGTTGCATTTTCGATCGGCGCAGGCATTAGGGCCATCTGCGTTCGTTTGAGCTCCCGTGCCAAAGATTTTGAGTGGCTGAGACGTCTTCAGTGGCAACAAGTTGCCATTGTTCTTCAGAAGTGTAATGGCATCCTGTGCTACTTGACGAGCAATCTCATCATGATCGGCTTGAACAGGAATGAATTTGTTAACCACGACTTTTGGTGTGTCCGGCCAGGCAGCTGGATATAGCAAGCCTTCACTATTTTTTGTGTTTGTGTGGAAGTTAGTCTCCGGGAAGCCCTTGTCCTGGCCCATCTTATACCAAGAAGCCACGACACGTGTAGCCATGTCATTCAACCGGTCCATGGGTACGGAGCCGTTGAGAGCCGATCTGGTGAGGTCGTACATCCAGTATGAAAAGCCAAGCAATGGAATCTGAGTGTCTCCTGGCATGTCCATATCCAAGCCAGCGATGGCAGAGGCCACGCCGGACATGTGACCAAGCCAATCGGACTGGACAAAGCCTTGGAAGCCAAGTTCGTCTTTGAGCAGCGCGTTGATTAGATATGGGTGCTGACTACATGCGGTACCGTTAACCTGTATCAATTAGTCATTTTGCCAAATCAAGCAACTATTGCTGACCAGCAACATACCGCATTATACGCCATCATGACTGATCCAACACCAGCGTGAATGCCCTCTGCAAAAGGCCACATGTAAACTTCGTGCAGAGTTCTGTCGTCTAGAAGAAAGAACTGTCAGCTCATGAAGACATGTGAATGTGAGGCTGGCTGTGGTATACCTATGTTGGCGCTATAGCCATATTGGACCGGGTTGTACATGCGAAACATTTCCTGCTCGTTGCCAATAAAATGCTTAATGGTTGCAATCACACCCTGTTCCTGAACACCTTTTATCGTCTCACGAGCCCCGATGGCTTGCAAGGATGGGTCGGCACCAAAACCTTCCCAGTTGCGACCGCCCTTTGGTTTTCGTCCAATGGGCCCGACAGTTGGACCTAACCACACATTAACGCCCTTGCCACGGGCTTCCTTACCAATGGCGACAGCGCGCTGGTACATGAGTTTCTTGTCAAAAGTCGCACCAGTGGTGATGCCATCTGGGAAGACTGTCACACTGTCGGCCTGTCGAACTCCGTTGTGGCCGTCGTTGAAGCAGAGCTGCGGGAATCCTACGCGAGGGGCAGATCCTGTATTTCCGTTGCAGCGTCTGAATTGTCAGTAAAAATTCGGTGGAAATACAAATACCTAGGTAGACAAGCAAAATGCTTGAGGATCTGGTGCGACTTGGATCACTCACCCTGCCGTACTTGTCAGTCTGAACATTTAGAGGACTTGGTGTGTTTGGCGGACAATACATCAGATACAACTTACCCATGAATATGCCAGTGCCGGCAGTGATGTTAGTTTTCTCAGCCAAGCTCATGGAAGCCACAAATTCTCTTGCCTTGCGATAGCTCGCCTGCCAGTCGTTTACCCACCCTCCATACGGAGCAGGGTAGTACGACGGCACATAATATCCATCAGGCAGGTTCCGGCTGCCAAGGAACTCCTCTGGTGAAGCTTTGTTGGCGGGCGAGGCTCTAGGTCCGGGCCTGCCAATGACACCAGTGGCGATGGCGGCTACGAGAAGCG